GGGGATTTCACCAAGCCATGAAAGTCCATCCAAATGGGCCCAATTGCACAATCAGACTATTCTTGTTAATATTTGCTCTTCACTGAAACTTCCCAACGCCTGGAAGTAAATGTTATTTATTTATTTCTATTTCATCATTTTTATATTAAAAATTTAAAGGTGCAAACGAACCAAAATGAAATGCATATACTAGCATGAACACAATAGATTACAATGAAACTGGGAAAAACATAAACAAATATGTTGAAAGAAAGATGATCTATAAAAGAATGCTGCTTTCCACTGCCTTTATTATGGAGTTACCCAAATCCCATTATATAAGCAGGCAGTTGTATTCTGCCCATGCTGAAGCTTCTGAGAGCAGGAGAATGCAGGAGTTTCTTTCTACCAGAAACAAACTGTACCACTAGACCAGTGTTTCCCAAACTTGGGACGCCGCTTGTGTAGGGAAAGCCCCTGGTGGGCCGGGCCGGTTTGTTTACCTGCCCCGTTCGCAGGTCTGGCCGATCGCGGCTCCCACTGGCTGCGGTTCGCTGCTCCAGACCAATTGGGGCTGCTGGAAGCAGCGGCCAGTACGTCCCTCGGCCTGCACCGCTTCCCGCAGCTCCCATTGGCCTGGAGCAGTGAACCACGGCCAGTGGGAGCCGCGATCAGCCGGACCTGCAGACGGGGCAGGTAAACAAACCGGCCCGGCCCACCAGGGGCTTTCCCTACATAAGCAGCGTCTCAAGTTTGGGAAACACTGCATTAGACTATATTGCCTGTCTGAAGGTCCATCAATGCCCTAAACGCTATATGCCCCTTGTTAATGCTATCCTTAGGATGAAGGAAATACCTGGGACAGTATTCACAGGAAAACTATAGGAATTACTGGAGCTGCAATTTAGCCTTCAAGTGTCTACCCACTATAGGGTCAATAAAAATGATTACAATCTCTACCAATTATGCATCGAGTGCTGCCACATACTGTCAATTTTTTAAAAGATGATATATTAAAAAAATCTGGGTCATCTTTTGTAGGAGTGCTGACCTTTAAAATGCTGCGTTCACTCTTTTTTAAATGACATTTAACCATCTGCCATTGTTATCAGATCTGGTAGAAGTGAGGTATAACACTTGGTTTCTTGAATCCTCACACTGCCACGGGTAGTATGCGTGCAATAATAGCGACTCAAGCTAGCTCTGCTTAGGAATCCCAAAATCAAAAATTTTTAATTTCTTGTACTAAACACCCGGCTTTTTCCCCCATGCAAGTTACCATGGCTCCATGGGCTACTTACAACAGACACAGTTACTACTAGATAAATCACACAAAACTGGGGAAACAGACTGAGAATCTTAGCCTTCCACTCCTAAACCATAGACCTGGACCACTTGAGCTAAAGGAGAATTTCCTTAACTAGGAGTAGTAATAGATCCTCTACCTTTCCTGTAGAGCAGCCAATAGAGAGTAACATCACACATTCATATATATATATAGAGAGAGAGAGAGAGAGAGTAAGTATTATAAAAGATTAGTTTCGTTTTATTGTGATCATAGCCTTTATCATAGCCATAGAAAATGGGAAGTACCAAGGTCCATTAATACTCAGCTTTCTACAATTCCAAGAAACAGGTTTTGGAATACAAAACCAAGAGATGACCCCTACATGCACAAAATGGGAAACTCCTGGGTGACATACTTGTACTGCCAAAAGGCCCCTTCCTCTGGATCTCCCATTGTATTTTGTCTTGCCTGTCTGTTTAGATCATGAGTTCCCTGGGACAGAGACCATCCATTCTTCTGTGTTTTGTTGGAGCTATTGATGCTTTGCAAATAAGGATAAAATAATGTATTAATAATAGGCAGATAGAGCCTTACAGGATGCTTGAGTGATAAAAAAAAACCTCTAGGGAAAATTTCCTCCTGACCCCAAATCAGGAAGGCAGTTTGACCCCATGCACATGAACAAGAATCACCATGAGTATGAATCTAAACACACAGACACCCTGAGATACCAATGGGATCCAAGTAACTCTCTGTGATTTTTTCTCCTAATTTCCCAGCAGTTTGACCACCAAAGAGACATTAGATGGGGATCACTTGCAAGAAAAATTGTTTTTAAAAAGATGCCCATAGTCCACATCTTAAAAATGTGTGTATACCTAAGTATCTCAGTTTGCACACACAAGGGCATATGCACATTGGATATCTGAGGATGAAAATAGGTACTTAGAGGTCTAAAAATGTATATGTGAAATTACTGAGACTGCAGACACAAACTAGGCATTTTCACATGTACATACCTGGTTTGTAAAAGCATAATCATGTTTACAGTGCATACAAATTTAATCATGCAAATAAATGTGCAAAACATCAGCAGTCTTTTATTTTTACGTCTGGCCATACAAGGGACTTGAACTGGTGCTGACCTAGAAGTGAAAAGCTCTGAGCTTCATTATCAGATATACCCTGATCTACCCAAGTTGCCCTTTTAAATTATTTTCATTCAAATCCAAATGGCTCTTTTTCATTATATTTGAGTACCAAAGAAATAAAATAGGAGTCCAATAGTTTAAAATGCATTTTTGCACTGTTCCAGCTCTTAAGGCTTTGTGCTTTAAGTGGAATTTTTGCAGGTCATTAGTTTATAATGTGAACCGGTGCCTTTGGGTATTCTGAAAGGGGAAAAAAAAGCAACCCAAGTTATTTTGTTTAGAAATGCAGTTTCCTGGGCTGGTACAATCATTTATTTCAGCTAGAACTTCAGATACGTTTTATACACACATTTAGAGTCAGATGCTGTGTTGAGAACCAAGGTGAATGAAGTACATGCTGTGGCTTTCTGCAAGCTGCATAGCGAGATGCACCCTGTGTCTTGGATCTGAGCTCTCCCCAGTGTAACAGCTGTACATAAAGAAGTTTGTTTCAGGCCAGAACCTAGTATTAACCCTCTTATCTGATCCCCCCAGTGTCTCACCTTCTCTCTGGTTTTCTGGGAGTGGGAAGACTGGCATGGGAGCACTGCTGAGACCGTTTCCACTCCCCCAACTGCGTTTTCTAGTGCCTGTGAATGACAAGGCTCTAGTGCCTGACAGACAAGGACAGAGCAGGGTTCTGAGTGCCAATCAATGGAGCATGCCACATGGTGTAATTGGAAAATATTCTGCTTCTGGAATAAGATGAAGATATCACTCTTAATAGAAAGCGGTGGCCAAGAGCACTGTAATTGGGGAATATTAAATTGACATACTCATTTTGTAAGGCTGATTTAAAGAACCCAGGGGTGCAGTTTTTACCAGTGATGAGCCTGAGCTGTAGAGTTTGAAACCAGATCTGAACTTCGCTAGAGTTTGTGGGTGTTTGGATCTTGGAGACAGTTTCAGCTCCACCTGCTATGCTTACTTCATTCAGAAAGCATGGCTGTCTGAAAGAAACACTTTAGTCTTTCATTCACTACAGGGTCTTCCTTCACTTTAAATCCTTCCTTATCAATTGTCGATCTAAGTTGTCCATATGACCAGCTCAGTGCATAACACAGATTGCAGAACACATGTAATCAGCACTTATAATGCCAATCAGAGTGCCTGAATAACACAACCATGAGAAAGGAAATTTTTAGTAAATTTCACAGCAGAGAGGCAGGGAAAAAAACAGTAAGTCTCAGAAAGGTCACCAAATAATATAGGTTTTTCTACATCATATATAGGAATAAAGTGGAGGTGCTGAAAGATGAGACCCGGGGATGAGGGGTTCGAGAGAGAGCCCACCACACATTCACCCCGCAGCGGCAGCTCTTGTACCGCAGGGCTGGGCCTTGTGATTTGTCTTACTGGGTCACGGTGCCACTCATGTTTGGCCCCCACCCTCACCTCTCAATACGTGGAGATGGAGTAGCAGACAGGCTGAAGGTGCACTGGTGTCCCTGTGCACCAGTTCGCAACGCCATTTGGTTTGGGGGCCTAATCAAATGTGTGTTTAGCAGCCATTTTCAAGATTTCACAAACTTTACAGTGGCCATGGAAAGCATGAATCTGAATAATCTCCATGTCAAAATCATAGCCCTAACCATGAGCCACAAGGCATCTTTTATTATTGTGTATCTTCCTTGGACTCTTTATCTTTCTTGCATTCAAATTTTTGGTCCCCTCCTTATTAGTGATAAACTCAAGACAGGTATTGAATCACCCAATAAAATCTAACTAATGTGGTCAAAATTGATCAAAATAAAGGAACAAAGTTTTGCTATTTTTATTAACATTTTTCCTGAGGGGTTGATCAAATCAATCAGAAAGTCAAATCAACTGGTAATTGAATTCAGTGAAATGCACTATACTTTGTGGTCAAAATTTTCAAACATGGAGAAACTAAATCCATATTCAGGCACCTACATAACAATGATCTGATTTCAGAGGTGCTGAACACCCACAGCTTCCACTGACATCGCCCAGGGTTGGAAATTCTAGCCTGCACTCTTCCAAGCAGCCTGCAATCTTCCACCTTCCTACACTCACTGAACTGCATGCCCAACAAAAATTCAGAACTTCTTATACAATACACATCTAGCATTATGTCAAGACCAACAGCCTATAAACCAAGTGAAGTAAAGTTGTGGATAGCAGTGTGGTTGTGAATTCCACTCGTACTGTATCTTAAAAACACAAAAAACCTGGCCAACCTATTATCATTTCACTAGTACCTGGAGACCCCAACCAAGACTGAGACCTCTTTGTGCGAGGCACAGTACATACAAAGAGAGAGAGACAGAGTCCCTGCCCCCAAGAGATTATAATCTAAATAGATATGGCAAACAAAAGGTGGCAGGGGAAACTAAGTCACAGAGAGTTGAAGTGACTTGCCCAAGGTCACACAGTAGGTCAGTGGCAAAACCAGGAAAGAACCCAGGTGTCCTGACTCCCAGTAGAGTGCCCTATCCACTAGACAACACTGCCTCTCTTTATGCTTACACTCTTCCTTTCTCAATGTAATTTGTTATGGGAAACTCTAGAAGCAGACATACCTTTCCAAAGATAAGTGAACGTGCTGAGAAATTCTTCATATGTCTGCTCCTGGCTATTAATAAACTGATCAAGGACACTGTTGTTTGACGGTTGCTTTTCCATCATCCATGACCATGACAGTCAAACAGGCATACCTTTTCTAAGAGGATTCCTCTGTAATGAAAAAAGGGAGAACCATATATAATAACAAAGCCTTTTTTATTCTTCAGGCAGAAAACAAATCAGAGGGTCTTTTAACTTCAGAGGGAGTTTCTCTAGTTAGCATAGTACAGGTGAGCACTGGAATTCAGAGAATCAGCTATTTCTCTCCTTCTGTAGGTCGTGATTACTTCATTAGGGTTCTTGGAAGGCACAGGGGAAGGCATTTGTAGGATTAGGGCCACAGTTATTTCAAATGCATTTAGGTGACAAATAAGTGGCCTATTTGAATCCTGGGAGAAAGAAGGTGTCTATCCATAGAACAGGTACTGTGTAGGCAACGCAACAGTGCTTGTGTCTCTCAGAATGTCCTACCAACATGCTTCCACCCTGTTCAGGAGGGACCATGTCTAAGTAATTCAGTAACACTGCCTGTCCAACCCTTGCTTTCTTTGCTGAGAGGGTGCCACTTAGCACTAGTTGTGGTGCCGGATTTTATGATAGGGACACCTGTGCACAGGGAACTTGGACTGAATCCACCAGCTCATTTCACAGGTGCATCTTGTACTATATTCTCAAAGCCACTAAACCCAAGCTTTGGAAGAATGTGATATTACCTTATTATTTATTTGTATTGACGTAGAACACAAAGGCCCCAATCAGCACAAGAGACACATTGTGGAAGGCAAAGAACAAATGCCGAGAACTACGGGACCTCCACTGACAATGCTCTGCTGTCTCCAGGAATTTAACGCTCTGGCTAGACAGCTGCAGCATCCAACTGATCTTGACTCTTTCAATAGGGCAGAAGGAAAGTGACGGCCCCTGAGACAGCTGCATTTCAACTACATCGTTAATGTTGTTGTACAGTGCTTCAAAGTGCTATGTATTATTATTATGGAAATTCAGTACATATAGGACCAGGCTAGCGTGCACACATGCATAATTTCTACACATTACTGCAGTCCCACACTCAAGTGGCCCTGTGGGAGCCTAGCTGTGCATGTGTAACTACCCAGTTTGTATACACAATTTTTATAGATGTGTATGCATATTAAGTGTGCAATTACACACAAATGTCTTCACGCTGCCCAGGGCTTCTTGCCTTTTGGAAATACAGTCTTTAATTTACAGGAGCACTAAGAAACAACTTTAGAGGTGAAAACCTGCTCCACTGAAGTCAATGGCAATATTACCATTGATCTCAGTGGGGCTAGGTTTATTTATCCTTTTATTTTGGATTTGCAGTTAAAGCAGAATGAACCCAGAACATCCAAACCACAGCATCAAAATAAACCATGAATTCTAACTCTGTCGTGCTGTTGATTGTCACAGGAGGTGATTGTTCTGAAGTTTAAAATAAACCAAAACACATAGAGTCCAAAACACAGAACTTTAAGTTTCACTAAAAACAAGCTAATATTAACCACTCTAGGCACTGACCGAGCAGATAATCATTTACCAGACGGACAACGTGGTTTATGCAAATTCTAGTGGTTTTCAAGAGGAAGCAATGCTTTGTTTTATATTTTCATCACTGTTCAGTTATTAGTGTCACTACTCTAAGTAAATTTCATTGTGCGAACGGCTAAGACTTGTAAGGACTTATGAAAGAACCTCATTTGTTAATCTAAGATCTAAATACTAATTACAATGCTTTGCCCTTCTGCAGCACCTGCTAGCTAAGGATTTCTAAGTGCTTTACAAACATGAATGAATTCAACTCACAACCCTCCTGGGTGGTAAGTGCCAAGAAATATTATCCCCCTTTTACAAATGGTGAAACTGAGGCACAGAGAGTTAAAGTGATTTGCCAGTGAGCTAGTGGTAAAGTTGGGAATACAGCCAAGATCTCCTAATGATCCTTTGCTCTATTATGTGCTAGTATAGGGATCAGCAACCTTTGGCACGCAGCCCATCAGGGAAATCCACTGGTGGGCAGGGATGGTTTGTTTACCTGCAGCATCTGCAGATTCGGTTGATCGCAGCTCCCACTGGCCGTGGTTCGCCTTTCCAGGCCAATGGGGGCTGCGGGAAGCAGCGCGGGCAGAGGGATGGAACGGCGAACCGCAGCCAGTGGGAGCTGCGATCGGCCGAACCTGCGGACACTGCAGGTAACCAAACTGTCCCGGCTTGCCAGCGGATTTCCCTGACGAGCCGCAAGCCAAAGGTTGTCAATCCCTGTGCTAGTATCTTAGACCAGTGGTTCCCAACTTTTGGGGGCAACTGTAACTCTTTACCAAACTAAGACTCCAGCTGTGCTCATCAGTGACTTTCCCATCCAGCAGGCCCTGCAACCACCCTTCCTTAATGATCAGCTTGAGTTCCAGTCTTCGTGCTGGCTCTTAGACCAGGGCCCCTACCCATCTCTCACTCACTTGTGTACTCGCTAACTTGTAACAGAACTTGAGAGGCTCTAAATGCTAGAACTGGAGCCGTCTCAGCTCAGTTGTAGGTGCGAACACCCCCTGCTGAATAACAGGCAGGGTAGCAATGGCACACCAGGATTCGACACAAAAAGCTGGGCCTTGGTTTTATAATTAAGGTTGGAGAGAAGATGCAATGTTGACCTCCAGGTGAGGATGTCCAGCCAAATACCAGGGGTAAAGTCTGGAACCCTAATCTCTTCAAGAGTCAGTCCTGGATACTGGCATTTATACATGCACTATAGGGAGAAAACCCATTGATTCTATTGCTGCTTCTTAAAGACATGAGAGAAAATTTCCCAGTGGTTTTCCAGGCTTGGCAAACGGTCACTTTCTCAAGTTTTGAAAGTCTCTCTGCAAAAGAATGGACCAGATTCTGCTCTTGGTTACAGCAGTGTAACTGTGGAGTCAGTGGAGTTGCTCCAGATGTACACCAGTGTAAATGAGACCAGTGTCTGGCCTTAGCTATGCTGAAGAGTGAAATATAGTTCATCTTGGCTAAGGAAATAAAATAAGTACTGTAATCTGTATAATTCATAGGGTGAATTTCCTTTTACATTTTTTGAAAACCACAAAAGCGCATTACAGAACAAAATAATTAGTTATACGGTTGATAAATCCTGAGATGGGAGATAAAAAACCCACCTCCTTTTCATTTATTGTCACCTACATGTATATTTTACCCCTGCTGATGTGTGTTAGGGTTTTGCTATTTTATTTCCAGGGGTCTATTGCAGGCCTAGTAACATTAGGAGATGGTGACTAGGAAGAATCAGGTGGATTCTTTATAGAAGCATAAGGTTCTATCAATCATAAAAACTCCGATTTTCCACACCATGAAATATGCAAATCGCTTTGCATGCGGATTCTACACCCAAATGGTCTGTTCATTCTAATTCTAGTCACTCTGGAGAAGTTTTGGGTTCTATGTTGCATGGGTCTGGATGATAAGGGTTGAGACTTGGTGGATTATTAGCATTCTTGAAATTGACAAGTTGTACATGGCTGGAAATGTGTTAGGAAAACTGTCCCAACACTATCTACCTACGTTCTTATACTGGCACATTTTTACTCCATTGTGGCTTCCTGCTGCATCGCTTCTACACCAGTCCCGTGTCTCTCTTAAATAAAGACCAGCAGTTGTTTCAGACTGTGTCAGCCCTGTGCAGAAATTTTGTGGTGCAAACAAGGGAAACCAGGCTGACCAGCAAACTCTCATTTTCGTTTTTGAACTAACCCATATCTGAACCCTGCTCTCCAAAAGCTAAAGGCTAGTGCATTCATGCAATTCACAATATACAAGAGGCACCCTAGCTGAACTCATATCAACAAAGCAACTGAGTTTCTCTTAGCTTAGCATTCTGGATCTCCTAATGCTTGAGAATCCTTCAGGATTTCTACGTTTGTTGTGGCCATATTTCTCAGGATGCGACTTTTTAAGGATTAGTTACACTGTGGTACCTCCACCCAAATCTAGAGGAAAAGAGACAATATAGAATCAGAAAATTGGCAGGGATTGAAGTCAATTTTTTGTCTTGCAGAGGAGAGAATCAGACTGAAGGAAAAATAGGGGCATATAGAGCCTTTCAAAGGAGGATGGCTGAGTAGTAAGGTGCTCAATGACAGTCCTGAAAGACCTGGGTTTGAGTCTCGCTCAATCTCACAGTGAAAGGCCACGTCCAGTTCACCCAGCTGTAAAACAGATACCTGACCTATTGGGCTAGGGCAGTCAAAGGCAGTTGGACGTGATGCTGGCTACATCATTCCCTTGTGTACTGTTAGCTATGACATGGAGGTGCCTGAACTGCATCAGCCTGATGAGCCCTTGGCTTGGGGAAACTTTGACTGCTAGGTCACCAGTTCAAATCTAGCTCAGGCTGATATCAGCCAAAAGGCACTGTCACATGACAGCTGTTTGGCTGCTTATGTAAAAGCTGTTGGTGAATTAGTACAATTCCTAGTGGATCTGATGTCTGCTGTCACTAACAGTCTCAATAATGAGAACAAGGCCTGAATGGACCATGATGACTGATATCATCCCTTTTCTCCCCAGAGGTGGTCCCTCCAATACATCAAAAGAGTTATGAAGTTTCTCCTTGGGGGAAGAGGATGTCAAATCCTCCTGAATCCTTTCCACTTGTTAGAAGCACTGGAGGGAAGTATAACTGGGTTCAAAAAATAATTAGGTAAGTTCATGGAGGATAGGCCCCTCAATGGCTATTAGCCAAGATGATCAGGGATGCAACCCCATGCTCTGGTGTCCCTAAACTTCCAATTGCCAGAAGCTGGGACTGGATGATAGAGGATGGATCAGTTGATAATTGCCCTGTTCTGTTCATTCCCTCTGAAGTATCTACACTGGCTACTGTCTGAAGACAGGATACTGGGCTAGGTGGGCCATTGGTCTGACCCGGTATGGTTGTTTTTACATTCTTATGAATAGTAACAGAATATGAGTTTCTGAAAATGATGTATTTAAGCAGAAACCAAATTTTTTTCTTTTAGAAAAATTTGCATTCCTTTCCTGCTCATCCATCCAAGTTACAGTAATGAGGTTACTTCAGGCTATCATTCATTAAGGCTTGCTGATCATCAGCAGATTGTGCAGAATCAATTTTATTTCCCAAAATGTAGTCTTCCTCTCAGCTGTTTAAACCAAACCAGAGATGTCTGCAGTGTATCCCAGAGGCAAGTTGGCTGAGTATTAGCATGATTTCAATTACACAGTTATTAATTCCATTAAAAAATGAAAAATGTAGTAGCTATGAAACATGGACTTCTTGTTTTATACAGCATTTTTGAGCACGTCATTACTATTTTTTTAAGTCATTATATTTTTTAAACCAGTGAAAGCAAAATGAACTTACGAACTTATAAACTGAGAAAGCAGCAGTGCCTAACCGCACATAGAAAAATCCTACATAATTCGACTGTTCAGAAATAAATATTCCACTACTGCATTATGTGGTATAGTCTTTTTGATTATCATACAAAGGGGAAAGTCACATTCCAATGCTGGGAATTTGGATCTGTCAACAATCATCCTCAATAAAAACAGGTAATTCATTAGTATATTTATTTATAGAGCAGTATTTAGATGCATGTAGAGATACAGGAAGACAGAGTCACTGTCCTGAAGAGTTTATCATCTAAATCTGAATGTCTCAGGCTCCACAACTGTATTAGTTTAACGTCAGATGCTCTGTTTTAACTGTATAGTGCCTGATCCATTCCCCTACACAGTCATTCCACTACCTATATCGGACTCAAATCATTGTTTTCCAAATCTCCTTGAGATATCCAGATTATAAAACCAAAATCTGTTCTCTTCCAGCCTAGATGACAGTGATAAGCCACATACATTTCTATAGCACCTTTCATCAGTAAAACTTACTAACTTTGCTCTTGCACCAGCAAAACCTCCATGCAAGGAACTTCCTTTGCCCTGAATTGTGGCCTGGCTAGGGTGGCAGAATAGAGGCTAAGGGAGAGCCAGGCATGCAGCAGTGTAGGAGGGGAAGCAGGCCCCTGCTACAGCTGAACTGTGTCTCATATACCCTATACTGCTAACACCTACAGCCATTTCTCACTTAGCCTTAGTAGTAGGGGTCTATGCTTCTGAAGCAACAGGGTCTGAATTCTGTCCCCACTGTCACAATGGTGATCAGCATGGAGGTCACCATGAAGTCTTAGGTGGCTATGGATTTGCTACAATATTATTATTATTGCAATAAGTTAGCATCAGGTCTCTGTAGGGCAGAAGTAAATGTGAGTCTAAATTAAGCAAGAGTCTAAATTAAGCAAGTGTGCTTCGTAACATGGTGCAATTGACAGATGGGTCATAAGTACCCTGCATTTCACAGTCCTATCGCCTGCCTACTGGACAGCTCAAGAACCTCAGTGACAAACTCCTCAGAAAGCTGTGGTCCATCCACCTTGGCCAGAACGGCAGTCCCTGTAATATGTTTACTCACAGTATATCATTCAGCCTCTGGATGGTCCTGTGTGCTGTATAGTTCCAAACAGGGTGTGGTCCCTGGTAAACAATAGAGACAAAGGTGGAACTCAAGCTGAATGGAAGCCTGTTTGTCTGTAGTTGTAGCTTTTTTCTTCCTGTTGAAGAAGAGCTTAAATTGAGTCCATATATCAGAAAAGTCACTACAACATGGTACTTCAAGAGAACAGAGAATAAAAGAGGTATAAGAGGGGTGATGCTTGGGGATCCCTAACTTTCTCGAGACAGGAGCAACAACTTTTTAAAAACTACATTCCTCTACAGCAGTTTGTCATGTTGGTTGGATTGCAGCACTGCAGTTGTACAGAAAAACTCCCTCCCCTCCTTGTGTTACAGTCCTGCCCTACCTACCTCCTCCCACAACCCCCAGCCACCTGCAACTAGACAGCAGCTCCTGGAATGAACTTTAAAGAAGACCCTAAGCCTCTGGTTATGAGCAGGTGCAGATCAACTGAACTATATGAACGAACTCAAAGCATGGATGTTTCAGTTATGAAGGAGAAAAACTTTCAAATGATTCTTGGATGTTTCTTGTTTTAGTTCAAACTGTTTTCAAGACCTAGGGGCCTGATCCCACTGAAGTCACTGGAAGTTTCCCACTGACTTTAGTGGGAGACGGAGCAGGCCTTTAGATGCACATGTGTGCAGCACCCATTTACTTGACTGGGATTTGCTTGTGCTTTTATAATACTTGGCCCTAAATCTCATCTTTGGAGATGCCCTGCTATCTAAGAACTTTAACTGCAAGCAACCATACTGCTCTCGTTTGATTGTGGAAATATTACCTGAGTTCAGTGCCTAATTAGGTGTTGTGCATTCCAAATGGCTCTGACAGTGCTGCCTACTTAAAAGATTGTTTAGGGAAAGAAAAGAATTGGACTGGCTACAAGGGTAAATTTCTTTTTCTAAAACCAGCAGCCACAATCCCATGAGGTGTGACCTTTTCAGATCTCAGAGAATAAGCGCTGGTGGGTTTCATCAGTTCTGGTATGGGAGGCCTCCAAAGAAACCTCATTTGCTTCAAAAGGTGATGTTAGGAATGCAGTTGGGCACTCTTTAACATTGGGTACATCTACACAGTGAGCAACAGTACAGCAGTGAGTTTAGAGCCCGGATCAACAGACGTGGGCTCATGGGGCTCACACTACAGAGCTAAAAATAGCTATGCAGAAATTACATCTTGGCCTGGAGCTTGGCCAACCCCCCTCCCTTGGCTTCAGAACCTGAGCCCAAATGTCTCCACTGCTAATTTTAGTGCTATAGCGCAGGCGTCACGAGCCCAAGTCTGTCTCTGAGACTTGCTGCTGCAGGCAGTATAGACATAACCCATGTCAGTGCTGAATGCCCAGCAGGGCCGTCCCTGGGGGGGTGAGGGGCCTGGGGCGGAAGTGACGAATCCGTCACTTCCGGGACCGACCTGTCACTTCAAGGACCGACCGTGCCCGGCGCCAGTCAATTGCACCAGCAGCCCGTGAGGCCCCCCAAAGCGCAGGGCCCAGAGCAGTCGCCCCAATTCGCCGTACCCAACGGACGGCTGATGCCCAGTAAGGTATAGTGTTAAAGGGCACTGTTCTGAGGTCATTAAGGACCCCATGGTACTTTTCACCAGAGCCAGTGTCAGCTCTACAACCCTCTTGCACTTGAATAAGACATCCTTCACTCTCCATAGCAAACTGCAGTGCACGGTTAGCCAATTGATGAGGTCCACCTCAGAGGTGACTGCATGTCATTGGCAGATGTTTTTTTGAAATTTTTAAAGCAATTTGGGATCATTTGGAATGAAGGATCGTGTATTAAATGTAAGAGACATATTTCAAATGAATTCCCGTAGAAGAAATAAATCAATTGAAACAATCTGGCCAGTTAGCAAGTGATCAGTTAAAGACCTGCTACCTAAATTCATTTTTATTAAAATACTATTTTTAAAGGAATGGGTCTGTTAAATGGATACAGTTTTTGTATGGTGCTATGCCTTTAACTGCCAAACAAATTCAGGAGGAGAATCCGACATTTTCATGTTAGGAATCTGAGTTTTCTGAGCGCACATAATTGTGTACAGGATTCTTCTGATTTCCCTTGTGGACAGGTGACTCCAAAACTACCTACTGCAGGAGTTCATGCCCCTTCCTCTGAAGGAGCTGATCACTGTTGGAGAAAGGCGACTGTACTAAAAAGACCATTGTTCTCATCCAGTAGGGCAGTACTTGTGATTAGCATTTTGTTACAGGCAAAGTTTAACCTCCCTTTCCTCTGAGCCAAATTAATTATGTCAGAAAGACAAGCATTTTCTAAGGACAAGACACACTAAGTGACACAGGGAGAGTAAAATGAGTCTAAAATATGAGGTGAGGCACTAGAAAAAAATTGTCAATTTTCTTTTGAAATCTGTGCAGCACTTCTGCAGTCAGACCAACTTTTCCTCTGATCATACCAACTAAAGAGGGTCAGGCTCGGTCAATACTTGGATGGGAAACTGACAAATATCATCTAGGTGCTACTGGAAATAGAAATGAACATGATCTGAACAGCCCAGAATTTGGGGGAAGTTCAATTCTGGATCTGAACATTGTGGTTCAAGTCCATCTTTATTAATGTGATGGCCTCCAAGTGTCAGCACTGAAGCACTGTACCAACACGGGTGTTAGAGGACATTGTGCTGCTGGAGGTGCCATATTTCAGATGAGACATAAAGCCACCCTTATGTCTGCATTACAGTCATTAAAGGTCTCCTGGCACTTTTTACAAGAGTGTATTCATCCTGATGTCCTGGACAAATTCCAATTCAGGTTCTTTCCCTTGAGGGCATGGCTACACTTGCAGATGTAGAGCGCTGTGAGTTAAACCAGCCCTCGGAAACCGCATCAGGGAAAGCGCTGCAGCGTGTTCACACTGTCAGCTGCAAGCGCACTCAGGGGCGGCTCTATGTATTTTGCCACCCCAAGCAAGCACAGCAGTCAGGCAGCCTTCAGCGGCATGCCTGCAGGAGGTCTGCCGGTCCTGCGCCTTCGGCGTACTCGCCACCGAATTGCCGTCGAAACCGCAGGACCGGCGGACCTCCCACAGGCATGCCGCCGAAGGCAGCCTGACTGCCGCCCTCACGGCGACTGGCACGCAGCTTGCCGCTCCAGGTGCGCTGGTGGCTGGAGCCGCCCCTGAATGCACTGGCGTGGCCACATTTGCGGCACTTGCAGCGGCATTGGGAGCGGTGCATTATGGGCAGCTATCCCACAGAGCACCTCTTCCCATTCTGGCACTGTGGCTTCTGCGAAGGAGGCAGGGAGGTGCAGGTCATTCTGGGTCCTGTCCCGTTGCCCCGTGATGCATCGCTTCACATCCCAGCAATCCCTGTGCTTCCGTACACATTTGGCGCCATCTTTCAACGTTTTTTGTACTACGCGCTCTGTCTTCCCTTTCTGTCTGAGGGAATGGATCCCGAACAGCTGAGGAATATGCTGATGGGTTTCGACAGCATGTCACGAATTGCAGTCGAGTTACTCCTTAAGCTACAAACTGACAGTGAGGAGTCCGACAATGATGTCAACTCGCATAAAGCATACAACACGAGACTGCTTGTGGCATTCACGGACATGCTCATGACAGTGGAAAGCCGCTTTTGGGCTCAAGAAACAAGCACTGAGTGGTGGGATCACATCGTCATGCGAGTCTGGGATGACAAGCAGTGGCTGCAGAACTTTTGGATGAGAAAAACCACTTTCATGGGACTGTGTGCTGAGCTCGCCCCCACCCTGCGGTGCAAGGACAGAAGATTGAGAGCTGCCCTGCCAGTGGAGAAGCAGGTGGCTATTGCAATCTGGAAGCTGGCCACTCCAGACAGCTACCGATCAATCGCTAACCAGTTTGGAGTGGGAAAATCGACCGTTGGAATCGTGCTGATGCAAGTTTGCAGGGCCATTAATTGCATCCTACTCAGAAGAACCGTGACTCTGGGTAACCTGCGTGACATTGTGGCTGGCTTTGCACAAATGGGTTTCCCTAACTGAGGAGGGGCAATAGATGGGACACATATTCCAATACTGGCAACAGCCCACCTAGTACATTAATCGGAAGGGGTATTTCTCTATGGTTCTCCAGTCACTTGTGGATCACCGTGGGTGTTTCATTGACATTAACGCAGGTTGGTCCGGAAAGATGCATGACGCAAGCATCTTTCGGAACACAGGCCTGTTCAGGAAACTGCAAGCCGGGACTTTCTTCCCAGACCAGAAGATCACCATAGGAGAAGTCGAAATGCCCATTGTGATCCTTGGAGACCCTACTTACCCTTTAATGCCGTGGCTCATGAAACCGTACACAGGGAGCCTTGACAGCAGCAAGAAGCGGTTCAACAACAGGCTGAGTCAGTGCAGAATGACTGTGGAGTGTGCTTTTCGCTGTTTAAAGGGCCGCTGGCACTGTCTGTATGGGAAGCTGGACCTGGCCGATGACAACATTCCCACGCTTATATCCACATGCTGTACCCTCCATAACATTTGTGAAGAAAAGGGTGAAAGATTCACTCGGGCATGGACCTCGGAGGTTCAACACCTGGAGGCTGAATTTGAACAGCCAGAGAGCAGAGCTATTAGAGTGGCCCAAAGGGGGGCTGCGAGGATTAGGGATGCCTTAAGGGAGCAATCTGAGGGTGAAAGCCACCAGTAATGTTTGGTGCCCTCCACGGGAGTGAAGTGAAGTGCAGTGGTTCCAATGTTAGTAGGAATCTGTGTTTGCTACATATGATGCACAGACTTGCCTGTTGCTTTCCTGGGCTACGGTTGAATTTTTTCTTAATGCAATAATAAAGAATGTTTTCAAAGCCAAAAAAATCATTTATTGAAAAGAAACACAACTGCTTGGGAAACAAAAAGGGCATGACACAACTGTGCTGTTTGGGACGAGGGAAGGAGGTGGGGTGGGGAACGGGACAATCACAGATTTGCGTATGTCCTGTTATCATACTCAGCCTTCCTGTCTGGAGTGCCTTGCAATGAGTGCTGCACTTCAGGCTGGCTAAAATGCATGGTGATGGGGTTGAGTGCAGTGGGTAAGGATTGTAGTTTCAGGGCTGGGTGGTGAAGCTACAGGTGTTGGAAGCAGCTGG